TCCGTGGGACACACAGGACAATCTCATCCTACCCAGGATCAAACTTTCAGCCCCCATCAGCCTAAACTTATTTAGTGTGTTCTCCTCGGGTTTTCAGGATTCTTGGCAGAAAGCATTCATTAGTATGACATGGATTATAAAAGGTTAGCTCTCAGAGGCCAGACAGAGCTCATTAGCACTGTCACCTTTCCTATTCATGTTGTGGATGGGGACCATGAAGGTTCATGACTGCTAGCACTCATTAAAATCCCAGGTAGTAAGTGTACACAGAGATTGCTGCTGCTGACAATGTTTCTTCATTTAAACCTGTGTGTTCTTATCATGAATAGGATGTTTGACAATGCTCATAATTGTATTCCCTGAAAGAACTCTATTGTTTACTTCTTGTTTCAGTAATATTAAGATATTTTCAAGGTCCACAACTACAAAAGGGCCTCATCTATGATGCCTTCTCAGTAGCAATGGAAAGAGGCTGCCAATAAAAAGCACTTTATGTATGTGTGGTGCATAGCATACATATTAGGCAGAGACATTTTATTCATAGCATATAGAGTTATCAGAGAAAAATTGTCTGATATTTTTTTCCTCTCTCCATTCATCTGTTTTTACTTGTTTGTATTTTGATACTTGGCAGATTTTCTGACTTCAGCTGAATAATGTAATGCTTGAAACAAAGATGCAAGGGAATATACAAGCTACTTCCCTACAAAGGCCCAAATTTACTTTAAAAGTTAAAAATTAAACAACAGAAAAATCCAAGCCTTTTAAGATTATTTATAAAATGTCTGTGACACTAAAATACCTTAATTAGTCAACTTCTCTTTTACTGATATCTTAGAAAATCTTAAAACTTGAAAGCATTCTAACCAAGGCAGAAAAATATTTTTACCAGATGTTATCAAAGTTATTAATTTGTCTTTTTCTTTAAACTCTGCTTAGGCTGTGTTGTGTTAGTACTGAACTGTCTTACTACAAAAGAATTTTTAAATACTCATTATAAATAATCTAGAGAGAAATAATCATTCAGATATTTTGTCCAAATAGCCTCATAAAATATTCACCCCAGCTCATATAAGCATATGACTTAGATAATTTTCTGTGGTGAATCTTCCTAACCTACTAATGAGACTTTCTGAAAAGAATTCTTCTAGTCTTCAATTTTTACTGGGTATAATTGGAATAACACCACTTGAGGAAGATATTAGCAAAGGTCTGGGGACATGGTGAGCTACAAACTCAATGTAAAAGAGAAGCAGTTCTTCAATTCGTTATTTTAAAGCAAAAACAAACAAAAACAAAACAAACTCAGTTCCTGCTAGAGGCCATATACTGCCAGCTACATGAACATCCTGGTGAAACTGTGAGTTGGTCATAGGAAGTGAAAGAGAAACAGAAGAACCACAGAGATGGAACGTAAAGGTGCACATTAGGTACGCATCCCAGGTCCTGTCTGTCATGTGAACGAAAACACATTTCCTCTCCATTTTTAGAAATACAATCACTGCATCTTTTCCATTTTGGTGAACCATGAGCATGGAAATCAGGGAAGAGGCCCAGAGTAAGTGTAAACTGCTAACACTGTAGGGTGAATGCAGTAAAACTGAGACTAGGAGTGACATATTAGGACAATACAGTAATAATCAGTTGTGGGAAACAACAAGGCAAGGGGTATTCAGGCAATTGAACATCCCTGCCCACGGTGGCCTCTTAAAAATACACAGAAAACTCCTTTCTTTATACATGGCCAAACACGTAAGCAAACGTGAAAAGCCCAGACAATACAACAGACACCAATTATTTGATGTTGCAGAAGCATAACAGCTGATTCTCTGCTTATTCCCTGGCATCTATGATGCTTATAATTGGACAGGTACAATACAAGTGGCTGATTTCAGATCACAGCTAATAAAGGAGCCTTGAAATGCTTAGAGTCGTTAGCTTGTTTGTTTCCAACATAACGCTAATCCTACGCACTTTTATATCTTCATTCCTCTAGGGTAAATCAATGGTGTTGCCTTGTAAGACAGGAGTGGGACATGAATATTGAACTCTGCACTGTGCCTTGCGATTTTCTTCCTATGTCTCTATAGTTTTCATCACTAAAGATATTTCTTCCTAGGAATATCAGACCTTCCTCCCAGTTTCATCATTACAAAGAGTGCTATCCATTTATGTATTTTTAGAATGACAGTTGATTATTTTTCCAAATTAAAACAAAAGAGCTAGCTTCAAGCTTCCACAATGACTCTTTCAATAAGATCGCCATGAGGAAACAAACTTTTAAAGCATTTTATGCCATTCTAGAGTTTTACTAAGAAATTTAAAATATTTCAGATATGAAAAGGCATATGATTAACTATCTAAGGAAGTTGTTGGAATTTTTTCATAGTCTGATAAAAATTTAAAAAGTGTTCTCATGAAGAGTATCCACTCATGTTCATTGAAGGTCCTGAACAAGCCTCCTAGAATTGAGTTACTACTCTGGGATTATAAATGTATTAAAAGCACCAGCAATTTTCAGTCAGCCTAAGGAAGAAGAAATAGAAATCATCTACATTTTTAATTACAGAAGACAGAGCAAGGCCTGAAAATGAAGAAAGGAAATGGCAGGCATTGTTGTGCTAATGAAATAAGGAGGACATTTTCTCCAGATGTGTACTGTTATACCCAAACGTCATCAATGGCAAGATGGCGATTATGAAGTGGGCTATCAAACACAATAGTGAATCCCAAGAAAGAACTTGCCCTATGAAGGTTCATATATTTTAAAATCTCATGTGAAAAGAGTAAGATAGCCTTTTGTGTTATATTCTGTAGTCACTGTTTACAAATAGCATCCATGGTGTATTCTGATAAAAACTATAAGGTGTTAGGTCTGTAGATTTAGTTTTATCATAAAGAAAAAATGTCACTAAAGGCCCACAGTAATGTGTACAATCTCTCAGGATAGGAAGGAGACATAACAAACAGTACTGAGCAATAAACAACTGTTATTTATACTGTATAGCTCTAAAGCAACAGTGAAAAGAAATAGTTCTTCATAAGCAATATTCCAGACTTATGCTCATGGCTTGTATAAGTGCAAATACAGAGACACCTTACCATACCATGAGACCATGGCTCGTTTCTCCATGTAATTTTTGTATCTTAAGTAGGTACCATGAAGTGAAAAGCACACAAATGCACATAGGTATACTCCTGCGTGATGCTCAGTTCCAGAAAAAAAAATGTCCCCCAACATGTATTCCCCTCAATGTAGAATATTTTGACCTGGAAACAGGATTATTTTTTGCATCCAAGATTCAGCGTCTTCTCACTAATTCTTATGCATAGTGCCTACCTAAATTTGCCATCATGAGTATACAGCAGCTAGTGGAAATGAGCACCATTTTACAGACTGTGGATGCGATCACTGATCTTTATGAAGGAAAGCAATCATCTCATAAAAATAATTAGCTCCAAAATCCATTTAAATAAACTAGTCTATCTAAAATATTTCTTTCAGTATTTCATATGATTAAGAATGGATTGATCACCATATGCTAACCTTTAGAAATTTGTAGTCTCAATTAGATTCAATGAGATTTAATGCTCAAAAAATTTCAAAGTGGCAAAAATTATTCATAATCCTAAAAAATCATAGATTATCAAAAATGTGGTCCTTTATTTATCCTAAAAAATATATTTCTTACAAAAGTAAAACATAACAGTAAAATCTGTTTGATTTAATGAGCAATGGCTGCTCTTTCCCCATCTTAGGCTCTTTATTAAGGGACTGAAAATTACACAGATATTTTTTTTTTGAGTCATGGAATTAAATGATAGTGTGAAAGAAAATCCTGGCTGTACTTATCCATTGGAAGGATCTCCTTTCTAAGATCAAGAATTAGGTGGCCAGAAGGACCTATACTGAAAGAGCCACCCTCAGTGCTGTGGCAGTTCAGGAGAAAGGTCATTGACTGACAGTCATGATCAGCTGTATCTGTTACTTTAAGTGGCTATACATTCTTCATGTGGCCATACATTCTTTAATCCTTTACAACCAGTGCCTATTGCCACCGTAGGTTGTACTTGGGGGAAAAAAATACACAAACTACTCAGTGTCATCCAAATAAAACGAAATGATATTAACAATTTGTCAGTTTGCCATATTTTTTTAAACGAAAGCTGCTCATCATAATTTGTCATCGAAATTATCTATGGGATAATGTGACACTTGAGTCACACACACACGCCTGCCTAAAGATGTACTGGACTTCCAGTGTTGGCTTCGAATTCAGCTCTGTTTGTTATACCATCCTTATATCTTCACACAGGAAGATATTTTTTAAAAATACACTTCTCTCTCTAACTGCTGCAGCTGCTCCTACTGAACACCCAGTGTTGCCAGAGAAATCACATCTACACATATATGTAAAATCAGGAAAACAAGCTGTTTTATCACCCAATTTAAAATACGCTCAATCAGAGAAAAGAACAACCAGTACAAAATCCAACTTGATGAGCAGCTGAAGATGAAAATACACTCAGATGCAGTTATAGAATCCAGGATGTATTTTATTCAGGGATGTTTGGATGAGACAAAGGACACTTCTTGCCTCAGGTTTTCCAAATCCCAGAATCAACAGGTGGGAATGATATGGCTTATATAATCTAAAATAGGGTTGAAAATGTTCTGTAATATCATCCCCAGGCTTTAGTGGTATGAAAAAGAAAAGAATTTTCTCCTAGAAAAATATAATTTAAAACATTATACCTTAAAAAAAAGTTCTGCCATAAGTTTTAATGAGAATAATAATTATCTGATATCAGAGATAAAATGCATTGTCAACTATCATCTTATAGTAAGTAAACCAACATATCACCTGATTGCAAAGCAAAACTTTGAAAATAGACTGACTAATGACACAGATTCAAACAATCAGCATTAAATCAATATCGCACAGACAGTGAGACAGACGACACAGAAGGAATGTGAAAACTAGGGAAATGAGCCTTACTCTTGACGGTCGCTGTTCGGGTACAGTTGTAAAGAATAGCCAGCTCCCCAAACACTTTTCCGGGGCCCATGGTGCACAGCTTCACGCCTTCTTTTGTGACTTCAACCTTCCCATCTGGAAGAAGAAGAGAAGACATGTTACATAGTCTCCGGTGCCATTTCATTTGCTGCCGCTTCATTACCAGCTGAAAAACATGGAGCTTAAATGTATCGGTGAACCAACTGAAACAAAGTTTTCCCTAAAGGACAATGCAGGACATGCAGTAATATATAAGAATCCCATCTCTTAAACTCTTCATCAGCAGATTTGATGTGAGACTCAAAAAAAAAAAAAAGAAAAAGAAAAGAAAGGCTAGGAAAAGCTGAGCATGAAAACAGAAACCTAGGAAACTACTCCATATGTAATTTTAGCAAACCATGACAATCCCAATTTTAATATTTGACATCCAAAAGGAAACTGGAGTAAATGGGCACATCTTCTATAGCCTGCCTCAGACTTGGAAATTCTCATTTTGAGCAAGGCAGTTATTATAAAGAGAGAAATTGCTCCCACCCTTGGGCATTATTTAATTGCAGCTTTTGGTATCTGTTTATTTGGAAACATCTTATCTGACCAAGGCAACCTGTTTCTCTGCTTCCCAGTCTGTGAAGCTGACTATCAGTCAGAACAAGAGCAACCACAGAGCAGGAGGACTGTTTATGCTCCACAATGGAATGGGAGAATAAAATGCTAAAGAAGGGAAAAGCCAGGGACATGCTACACACTGGGTACAGATTGCTGCTCACAAATAAGGACGCCAAGTGCTATTCATGGGGGGAATACTAATTTTAAAAAGTCAGAGCTGTGTAGCTTAAAATTTCCATCACCCAATACAACTAGGGGAGAAATCAAAAGCAACACACTCTATTCTAGAGGTAATCTTCCACTATTGCTGTTTTTCCAGTCTCTTACCCACTGTCTGTGGAAGAAAAGAAAACCTCTCTCTTGGTAAAAAGAACTAAGCCCTGATCAGATGCTTCCCAGTGTTGTTCTAATGTTAGGCCCCGTATGCCAGCATCAGAGCTGTTCTTTTATCTGCCTGCTGTAATAATGGTCTCTCTCTGTCTGTCTCTGTCTCTGTCTCTCTGTCTCTGTCTCTGTCTCTGTCTCTCTCTCTCTCTGTTTCTCTCTCTCTCTCTCTCTCTTGTGTGTGTATTGAGAATAAATTGATTCCTGTTTTTTAAACCAAAAGAGTTTAATGTAAATATGGGTTTAAAAATGTGAATCGGTACTTTAACTTCCGTCCATTTGTTGAACATTAAAGATGTTTCATCTATGCATCTGTGAGACACCATTTACTCTGTAGAGCAGTGGTTCTCAACCTGTGAGTCATGACCCCTGCCCCCCCATGTATCCTTGTTTCAGTTATCCTACACATCAAATATTTACATTAAGATTCACAAGAGTAGCAAATCTACAGTTATGATGTCGCAACAAAATGATTTCATGGTTGGGGGTGTCATCACAGCGTGAGGAACTCTATCAAAGGGTCGTAGCATTAGGAAGGGTGAGAAGGACTGTTGAGCAGCTCTCTTCTGGGCCTCCATATTTAAATAGTATCTGTGGACAGGGTAGTATAAGACAATTATGACTAAATACAGAATTTATCTACCCCATCGGAACTGAATTACCCCTTATAAGTAAGCTCACTGACCATAGAAAGAGAATGTCCCCCCACATATTCAGAGGTGGATGCTCACAGCTAACCATTGAACTGATCATAGGGTTCCCAATGGAAGAGTAAGAGAGAAGACTGAAGGAGCTGAAAGGGTTTGCTGCTCCATGGGGAGAGCAACAATACCAACCAACCAGAGCTCCCAGGATCTAAACCATCAGCTTAGGAGCACATAGGGAGGGACCCATGACTCCAGCTGTATATGTAGGGGAGGATGGCATTGTTGGACATAGGTGGGAGAGGAAGTTCTTGGTCCCATGAAGGCTGGACGCCCAGTGTGGGGGAATTCGAGGGTGGGGAGATGGGAGTGGGGGGGTAGGTGGAGGCACATCCTCATAGAAGCAGGAGGAGGGGGGATAGGATAGGGGTTCCTGGTTGGGGGGCAGGGAAATAGTGTAAGGGTATAGTATATTTACATAACATTTGAAATGTAAATAAAATATCCAATAAAAAAGAAGAAAGAATCACTCAGAGCCTAGTGAGGAGGTGCACCCCAGGTAAACCTCATCAGGAACCTGAAACAAAGATGAAATATATCTCTTATGTCACATATAAATTAAATGTTATTCAATTGTTAAAAAAAAGAGACAGAGAGAATGTCCTCTTTCAAGCTATATAAAAAATCAGCCAAGGAGTTTATTTATTCAAAAATACAGCATGCCCCATTTCTTTTAGTGATAAGTCTGTTTCCCTAGAAATTTCATGTGACACTCAAGAGTGAAAAAGAGCAATTACAGTGTGATAATAAAGAAATTATTATATTGTCTGAAGTCAGACTAGGACCTGAGACCTGAGTTTTCTTATCTGTTACTTACCAGCACTTTGGCACTTGGTAAATATATTTGAGTTTTCTTTTTTCTTTTTTATTTATTTATTTATTTTTTTTGGTTTTTCGAGACAGGGTTTCTCTGTGTAGTCCTGGCTGTCCTGGAACTCACTCTGTAGACCAGGCTGGCCTCGAACTCAGAAATCTGCCTGCCTCTGCCTCCCAAGTGCTGGGATTAAAGGCGTGCGCCACCACCGCCAGGCCTTGTTTGAGTTTTCAATACTTTACTGTCTTCTTTAGTAAAAATCAATAAAGCTAGAGCACCTATGTGATTGTTAAATTTAAATGAGATAAGACAGCTAAAATACTTATCCCTGCACTAAAAGTATAACACATGTCTGTCCTTACTGCTGACGTAACCTTCATTATGCTTGTTTATTATTTAAGTGGACATAAGAATTATTTATAATGTACTCCAATAGTCCATCAGCTACTTCAGTAACTGATGCCTATGTAGGAAAATAGGTTTTCTGTTATAAACAGTTTGTTTTTAGATTCCTTCAATGAGAAGTAATGGCAGTGAGGAAAGAACATTCTAGCACAAATCATTATCAGACCTAAAGAAGAAAACAGGAACCTAAGGAAATCAGTGATTCACAGGGAGAATGCCAAGTCTTTGGACTTTTCTACATTCATCTTTGTTCAGAGATGACAGATTTGAGTTTGGAGCTCCCAAGGATAAGAAGTAATAACTTCCTGATCGATTATAAAACTGTCAATCTAAAGCTTGTAGTGTTAATTATAAATATAATTAAAACAAGCAATGCTTAGAGGAAAAAGGAGTAGCTGTGTGAGGCTGCTTCTCTGTCTTTGAAGCTGACATTTTACAGTCTCTAGAGGAAAGCAACATCTAAGCAGAATGCAGCTGAGCGCTTTGAGAGTCACACTATCTCTACCAATACTTGCCCAATGAAAGACAACAAGTAACATTAGGGCTATTGTTTTGAACCAGAGGTTTCTTCAAGTAAAACTATGGACCCATCACATCAGAGCTGACTTATGGAATCTAGATGATTTTTCTTATAGGATGTTGAAACTACCCAGAGACCACCATGAGTATTACAGCCAGTCCTGCAGACATCCTTCCTTTCTGGACAAACCATATTCTTAGACCATCTATCTGTTTAAATGCATGGACAACTACTCATGTAGGTGGTTACAACTTCCGTTTTAAAAATCTCCAGAAAGCTCATGTTCTGAACACTATGAGACTCTAGTGTTTGAAATTTTTGCAAAATCCACATTTGGTTACAAATTATTTTCTCAATTTTCTTTTACAGAGTCTCACTGTGTAGACCACACTGGCAATGTATAGGCCAGTCCTATCTGCCTCCTGAGGACTGGGATTAAAGGCATCAGCCATTACACTCACCCTTATTATCCTAATCTTATTTGTCTAAATTTTTCCATCTAACTTAACTTTTGTTGAAAAAAATAGGTGTAAATTATACATGTGCTAATTATTCATTTATATATTAATAAGTGGTACTGCCAACAGAAGTTTGTGTTCCATATTAATTAGAATAGATAAAATATTCAGTATTATACTTGATAAATACCAGCTTGGATATGAATATATTTTCCAGGTTAAAAACTAGACAGTCAGTATGGCCAAAGTTACCAAGAAAGTATAAGTGATCCGATGCCATATGATATATGACACTTTTTTAAAAATATCTCTTTCTATTTGTTTCTTTAGTATTGCCTTTTGGATTTGAGATAGGGTCTCAAAAAGTCTTAGATAATCTCAAACTTGCTATGACCTTGATCTTTCTTGTTCTATCTTCAGAGTGATGAAATTATAGGAATGTGTCACCATGTCCCAATCAGTTTAAAGCACTGTTACTGTCGCTGGTATTACAGTTTAGTGAGCAAACAGACTTAAATCAGAAACAGAAAGTGCTTATAACCTGAATCATAATTGGATTGAATATTTTACTTCATAGCTGTTGTGAGGCTGAGGATAAGTAACAGAGAGAAGGGACAGATGAGAGACTCATATGACGCATACATGGCTTGAAGGACAGCTCTTTAAAAGGCGTGGAGAGGTATCAGAGTTTCCAACAACTCACAAAAATAGTTATTGATGAAAATGGTTATCGAACAGGTTAAGCTTACTTATTAGCCTTCATATCAACCTTCAAGTAAAATCAGAAGCAACTGTGCATTTCTAAATGCTTCTCTTTTGATTTTACTTTATATTAATCATTTTATTCATTTAAATTTCAAATGATACCCCTCTTCCTAGTTTGCCCTCCACAACTCCTACCATCCCATATCCACTGCCCTTTGCCTCTATAAGGGTGCTCCTCCTCCCACGCACCCATTCTCATCTCACCACCCTAGTATCCCCCTATGCTGGGCCATCAAGCCTCCACAGGACCAAGATCCTCCCCTCCCACTGATGCCAGATAAGTCCATCCTCTGCTACATATATGTTTGGAGCCATGGATTCTTCCACGTATACTCTTTGGTTGGTGGTTTAGTTCCTGGGAACTCTGAGTGCTCCAGTTAGTTGATATTGTTCTTCCTATGGAGTTGCAATCCACTTCAGCAACTTCAGCCCTTCCCCTA